CCCCCCCCCCGCCTCAGTGGTCGAGAACGCCCTCAACCGTGTTTCCCACATCTCCCGCAACTCATCCCTCACACCCCGTCCACGCAATAAAAACCAAAAAAGAATCCCCCACGTCCTCACGTACCACCCCACCAACTTCCGGATCCAACGCATCATCCTCTGACACTTCCGACATCTTTCCCTCCCCACCCTTATCTGCTTTCCGGAGGGACCACTCTCTCCGTGACTCCCTTGTCCGCTCCACACTCCCCTCCAGCTCCACCACACCCGGCACTTTTCCCTGCAACCGCAGGATGTGCTACACCTGCCCCTACACCTCCCCGCTCACCCCCAGCCCAGGCCCCAAGACGACTTTCCACATCAAGCAGATGTTCACCTGCACATCTGCCAATGTGGTATACTGCATCCGCTGTACCCGGTGTGGCTTCCTCTACATCGGGGAAACCAAGCGGTGGCTCGGGGACCGCTTTGCAGAACACCTACGCTCTGTTCGCAATAAACAACTGCACCTCCCAGTTGCGAACCATTTCAACTGCCCCTCCCATTCCTCAGATGACATGTCCATCCTGGGCCTCCTGCAGTGCCACAACGATGCCACCCGAAGGTTGCAGGAACAGCAACTCATATTCTGCTTGGGAACCCTGCAGCCCAATGGTATCAATGTGGATTTCACAAGCTTCAAAATCTCCCCTCCCCCTACCGCATCCCAGAACCAGTCCAGCTCGTCCCCGCCTCCCTAACCTGTTCTTCCTATCCCCTCCTCCCACCCGAAGCCGCACCTTCATCTCCTACCGACTAACCTCATCCCGCCCCCTTGACCTGTCCGTCCTCCCTGGACTGACCTATCCCCTCCCTAACTCCCCACCTACACTCACCTTTACTGGCTCCAAACCCGCCTCTTCGACCTGTTTGTTTCCTCTCCACCTATCCTCTCCTCTATCCATCTTCTATCCGCCTCCCACTCTCTCCCTATTTATTTCAGAACCCCCTTCCCCTCCCCCTTTTCTGATGAAGGGTCTAGGCCCGAAACGCCAGCCTTTCTGCTCCTATGATGCTGCTTGGCCTGCTGTGTTCATCCAGCCCTGCACCTTGTTGTCTCGGATTCTCCAGCATCTGCAGTTCCTACTATCTCTGGCATACAGTCTCTCTGGTTAAGCAGGGGTCAGCTTATCCAATTGAAATATTGCGTTGGTTCTTCACTTGTTCATCTAAATACCTTAAGTAATGAGTTGTTCAAGAAACAGGCCCCAGAAAAGGATATTTTAGCTTCTTGTAGTCAGATTTATATGTTTTTAGATTTGTTTTTTATTTGGATAATTGTATTATAATGAATTAAATTAGCTTTACTGACATATACTTAAATGAGTACAGTGAAAAGTTTACAGTCACCGCATTACAGCACCATCTTACGTACAAAGGTACAAATACTTAAGATCAAATTCTTAGGAAACAGAAACAAATCAGAAAAGTAAAGAAAGAAATGGACCAGCATCATAGGTCATAGGAATAAATGATGAAGAAGTAAAAAGTTCAGAATATCAGTATTTCTGACCCAGTCCATGCTCGTGCCTAGCCTCAAGGAAGACCTCCACCACCTCACCAGACCCGGCAATGTAGGAGTCACCTCATGTTTGGTGCCATCTCCTCGCCACTGGGTCCAATTCGCTGATGCTGCTGAACCCACACTTGCCCCACAACCAAGTGTCCCTGCCTCCGCTGCCAGGCTAGGCCACAAATCCTGCTTTGGCAGCAGATGTTTTGTTGGCGCTGCCAGCCCTGATTACTGGAGGAGCTTTGCTGCTGCTGAGAGTGTGCATTGTGTGAATTTAATGTAACTTTTCCCATCTGTATACACAGAGTTTATGGTGCTTAACAACTGTTTGGTGACTTTTGTCGATATTTGCTTTTCTTTTAGGGCCAGGTGTAGTGCATTATTTTACGCACTCTCACCCTAATGGGTGAGACTGTACCCTCCTGAGATCCAGCTGCCAGGACTGAGGTTGAAGGGTTAACCTGGACTAACTTTGTCTGTCTAAGCCAGTCATCCCTGCACAGTGGCTGATAAGTTTATGCTGTTCCTGAGCCTCTCGTTAAGTTGGGTGTCTGTAAATATTTGGTCGTGAGCTGAATGTCATTCTCCCATAGGATGTAAAAAGGTCTGATCACTTTCTTCTCCAGCCTGCTTCCCACCCACCCACCCCCACCAACCCCCTCCTGGAAATGCTGGCATTCTCGGAAAACTAATTTGCCTGGATCCATTTTGTCGAGCCCTTTGAAATAGCACTTCAAACGCAC